CTATAGGAAAATATAATAATTATAATAGAATATACTATCGCGTTTCGGAAATCAGAATCTTATATTGTATAAAGATATATTCTAGTATTGGAAGGAGTAGATTTTTTGGGGTAGCATCCCCACAAGATATAAAAGAAACTTTTAATTTTGTTTAACCAATATTGCAAGAGATATCTCGATTTTTTTGTATGACATTTTGCGAAAACTTGACAGTATACCTATTATCGGGCGATCATATAAACGTGAAAAAAAATAGATTTTGAGAGAATCTGATTAATATAAATAATATAAGATACATTCCCAGTTTTTAACGCTATTTTGTCTTTAAAGTACAAAATTCTTTGCCCTGATTAATCAATTAAACGATTACTCAAAGTATTCTATTGATTAATCTATATAATAATTCAAGTTCCCCTAATAACCCAAGACGAAGTATATGACATCATTAATCGGTCTCAAAACAATCAAACTTGCTTCACTCGAAAACACTATACGTTACCGCCGGCATAGCTCTCAGGTTCATTAGAGCACTCAAACCTCCTCAAGAAATTTTTAGATCATATAAAAATGAGGAACGATTAATACGATATTTGTGATTAATGATCAACAATTGCAATTGCAAATTACAAAACTTATTAAATTTTGTATAATGTGAACAATGATGACCAGAAGAATTGTTAATAAAATTATCTATTGTTTTTTAATTGTAGAAAAAAGTACTTGGTCTACTGGCGCATTTTGCGTAGACTTTCAAAGAAAATATTCGAAAGTAGATAAACGAAGCTTCGATGTAAATCAACAATTAAATTACAAGATAAACCGTGATTTAAAATTTGCGAAAAAAACGCGACGAATAAATAAATCGACGATAGTCATAATACTCGATTCCAATGTATGTACATATAAAATTTTTGGACCAATCAGAGGAACGATATAATTACCACATACTTATACGAGAATGTTTCGATGGACATTTAAAACGCTTTTTATAATCGCGTCTCTAACATTTGTAAAGAACATAATGCCCGATTTATTTTAAAATGCACGATTTTATGTAAATTTCGCGATTGAGAATAAGAATATAAGTACCGTTTCGCGGAGGATTGGCTAAACAGAATAAAA